CGTATGGAACACGTGGCCTCAGGAAGACTCCCATATGAAAAATCAAATTTTCAAAAATGATGGATAACGATAAGGAAAAGGCGAAACAAATGGTTGTAGCCATATTACAATGAACCGAACTGACGTTATTTTCAATGCATTTTTTATCTCGTGAATGCTGTAGCTGCACAGTTCTAACATGATTAACTTTCTCGTTCTTAAAACAAAATAAACTTAATTATTTCCTAATTTTGGTGTCAACAGTAGGTAATGAATGCATTTGCACTTTGAGTAACTTTGGGCTAGTTTGGAAGAGTATTAAGCGGATTCTTGGTATTTCTTATTTTACACCAGACTAGATCCAATATGGCTTGTATATTCCCCTTAAATAAATAATGTAAAGATATAAAAATCCATTCAATTTATTGGATCTGTTTTAATGAAGAGCTTACGATAAAATCAAATATATATGTAAATAGCAAATCCAGAATTTCATTTATTTTTATCTAGTATACTAGATCTTTTTCTCTTTCAGCATGATAAACGAATGGGCTTAAAATATGCAAACCAACCCTCTCAAAAAAAAAAAAAAGAAAAGAAAAAAAAAATCCAGACAATATTATCTAAATCTTTTTTATCTCTCTCTCTTTTTTAAATTGCGTATAAAGATATGTTTAAACATTACTCATATGATATACTGGCATACACTGAAGGATTTATTTTGGAAAATTGTCCTTGTAAAAGTAATAAAATGAGTATTTATCCGAAACATGATGCTATAAAACAATTGATTGTTTTAATGCAATACATCCAATACAATGGATCAGGTCCCAGGATCATGAACCAAACTTAGACTTAAGTCAATTTTTCAATCTAATATTAAATATTCATTATTTATTGAATAAATCTCTAATTTTGCGAATGACAACTCTTTTGTAAAACATTATTGTAAAACAGTTTGGTTTTGGTCTGTTTGACTTCTACAATATTTATGCATAACAGGAAGATTTTGACTTAAGCTTAAGATGCTTTATGATCCCGGGGCAGGATACTTAATGTACAATCAATATTATAAATCTAGTCTTAAGTATGTAAAATGTACTTCCTTCTAACAATCAGTCTTGAGTTGCATGGTAACTGGTGAAAAGATACAAACTACTTAAACATATATCTTAAAATGACAATAAACAGTCCTTGGACATAAGTAATCGACATTTATTTGTTATTTATCATTAATGGTGTCCCACCTTTTCTCAGCCGTGCTATTTACATTGTATAAAGAACACATCAGGAAAAAAATTGATAAGAATAAATGTCATAAATTATTGTAACTAGCATTGTAAGTACAGTTTTATCCCTACAATCTGTTCGACAAAATAGAAAAAGAGACAACAAGGACAATTCAATTAAAAAAATATTAGATAGAAATGAATGTCTAAGTATTATCCAATTCCAAATACCAAGGATGATTTTACACAACATTATAATATACATTGAAAAAATCGACATTATAGAAAGCAGATATGAAAGCACACCAAAGTTATTCTGCCCGAGGGAGAGAATTACTAATAAAAGCAACAGGAGGGAAAACTTCAAATACTAGTTAATTAATAGATTCTTGTAAACAAGGAAAGGGAAGTTTTTTTTTATTTGAATGAAAGCCGTAGAAAAAAAATAATATACATTGTATATGGAATTAACAATATTAACGACTTTAGATATTTATGGACTTAAGAGAAGCACCAGGGCTGTTTATGCCGTCGAAACTGTATCAACTAACATGGCATGGACTTACCTAAGAGTTTTCACCATTGCATATGGTGTCATTACTGGAAACGGTATGATCATAGAAATAAGAAAAATAAAATGTGGTCGTTAAATGATTTAGTGAATCAAGTTCTTCACAGAAAAGTGGTAGCTTTGAACTAAATCATTGCACTACTGGAATCTTAATAGGAGGAATGAATGGTGTATGATGTGCGAGGTACTTTTATTCATATCACATCTTGTTTACGCCTGAGATACAAATATAATCCATAGGGCCGAAGGTCCGAGGGCTGAGATTTGCCAAGGGCTAATAGGGATATGATGTGGAAAAGGGTATATATCTTACAGTGTATACGTTTATTACATACTAAGTATTAAAGTACAACATACACATCAACTTAAAAAAATCAAATAAATAAAACCACACATTTCTCAAATGTAAGTCCGATATTGAACTGACGTCAATGCAATCAATATAACTATAAACTAAGTCCGATATTAGGTCAAAACTGATATTCATCGTTGGATCAATATAGCGATGCTGATTCAAAATCTGTTCAAAATACCATATGCTGTTTCAACAGACATTTATATCTCAGTATATTGGTATTTCCAAAAATGAATATCTTAAAAATTAAATACACAAACAATTACATTTGTGAAGGTATAAATTATTATGTACCAGAATAAAAAAGAAGTTTTGCTTTGGAAGTCTTCTTTCTCCATTTTGTGTATACAGCTTTCTGTTTCCTGTACCTAAGAAAACCAAGAGTTCCATTTTCAATATTTATCTTTCACCGCTTCATGTATGTTTAGGCTCTCTAAAAGCTTAATATGCATTTAAATATAATTTTATTTTTTGAATTTGATTTTAAAAGTTATCAATGTATAAATTCAGTCCACTTGTGATTAGAGTTTAATAAAGTGTTATAATAATGTATTTTGTGATGTCACATGACGCACTTTGCTGATCACGTGATGGACACTCATTAATTAGCTTTAAAAGTTTTACAAGCAAAAAAAAAATCGTCTAAGTCTAAAATACTGTATTGTGAATGTGTATGTATGCGTGTATTTGGGAGAGGGGATAAGTGTTAGCTTCTTTTACATTCAAAGGAAGACTGCACTTATGCTGAATTCGGGTCTTTTTGTTCGCTTCTGTTCTTTTAAATCTTAACCTATTTTAACTATTTTTATATTAACTACAGTGGTCTGTCAATTAGACACATAGAATTATTATGTTTGAACAATAAATAGAAGGAAGCAGCACCCCACCCCCTCCCCCCAGGTCACATTTTTTGAAATATCTCTATGAGTTACAAGTACAGGTACAACTAATAGGTAATAAAGATTTGAATTGAGATAGTATAAATAGATTAAGCTATCATTAGCTGAATAACAGGAGCTGGCAAAAGTCATTTTAAGTTGTACGATTTTATGTTTTCTTGGTTGTACCATAGCACACAGAATCGTTGCTGATAGTCAAAAAAGTGATGTGCACACTTCAGATCGTTCAGTTTGACTCAGATCGTTTATTTTGACACTTTTGTTTGATGAAGAACTTCGAATCGCAAAACATCTATGAATTAAAATGTTTTTATGTTGTTTATTGTCTTTTGAGTATTTTTCACTCAAATGGAGTCGCCACCACTTGCAAATTTTGTCCTATAATGGGCATTTAGGGCCATTGAGCAATGAGGGGTACTTTCCATGCCAGCTCCCACCGCGACACAGGCGACGATCCAAGAATCCAAAAAATCCAAGAATTGCAAATGTGCCATTTGCCGATTTGTACTTCATATTCTTTTTTTTTGAAGTTCAGATATACCCGATATATACAGGGAAGTGAATTGCTTTATACAAGAATTTTCCAGTTTCTGCATTCAGTTCTAATTTTCGAATGCCGAAGGTTTCTGTTTGCAAATGGTTAGAAATGTTAATTTTGAAAAATAAATTTACATATTTTTCCAAATAAGTCCATATATATGCTTCTACAATAAAAGAGAAAACAAATTAAATCAGGTATATCACAACCATCCCACTTCATTGGAAAAACTAAATACTTTGTTATGGTCATCTTTCTAAAAAAAATTGAGGTCGTACTACAGCTTTATTTCCTTACGTTAAGGTTAGTTTTGATAATCAGTAGTAAGTATTCATTTGCGTACATTCAATTTTCGGCGATATTTACACAGATATGCTGACAAATGTTTTAAATCTTGAGTGAATGATTTCAACCGATCTGCTCAGCCGACATGGTTTGATGACCGTAATATATATTACGGTCATCAGCTTTCCTACGGTGAACATCTGTTGTTACATACAATGCACAAAATTTGCATAAATATGACGGACCTTGACTTTAAGAAACTGGAACAAAACTGGAATAAAACCATTTCTTTTTTCTTCTTAATCTTTTCTTTGACCATGTTGCAGAATGCTGACGTTTTAGTCTCTTTTATTTATTTTCAAAAAATATTCGAATAGATTGTAGAAAATTTTTTTCATGTACAAGTATAATTTCATTTTGTTCAAAATCTTATTCGTGAAAAGAAGAAAAAAATTGCTGCGGCCTTCGACTCTACATTTTTATAAATAGACATTTTATTTTTACCTCAGTCTGTAAATTTTTGCAAATTTTGGCTCAAAAAAGTGATTTAATTCTGTACGCGTTAATATTTTGCAAATTGAGCATGTCCGTGTAATTGAAAATCATCAAAGGCAAAATTCCACATCCCTGATCATAGGCATGCATTTTGAATGCGTTTACATACAAATAAATGTGTTTGACAACCCGATGTTTAAGAAAATAAAATAAGGCCGGAGTTTTCATACTGATTTTGCCAATAGAATTAAGTTGTTTTTACCTGATCAATACTCCAGTATTAAGGGCTCAGGATGGATGTGGCCGGATGGCGGAGAATGCTTGCTCCTACTAGACACCATATCCCACATATGGAATTTCCTTATAATCGTACTATATACCCATGTCACCCTTTTTTTTAGTTGTTTAAAGATTTTGTGGACGAATGTTCGTCATCTTTACAATTCAAATTTGATGAAATAAAGTAAAAAGTCTTCTGCATGAATAAAAAAAAATCATACAATCCATGTGGTGTGAAAATTAAATCTGATACATTGATCTACTTAAAGGAACTGAAACTACATGTCAATAAGCATCACTTTAACATTATTATTGGTATATAGGATTTAGTAATGGCAAGGACAACAGGGAAAGATAATTAAAAATTAGCTTAAAGATTAGGTATATGTCCATTGATAGGAGAGGAGTAGATAGCTCCAAGCTTCCAGTTCCCTGTCTGAATAAGTCTGTCGATGGACTTTTCACTATTTACTCTGTATACAATGTTTTCACTGCAATCTGTGTAAAGAAGTTCTCCCTCTGTGGTGACTGTGTGGTAACTTCGGATATCCCACAAACTGGTTGATATTTTTTGAAAAATGTTTCCTTCCATATCAAACTGAGCGAGACTTCCCAAGTTATCACTGGCCCAAAATCTATTGGGAGGCAAGAGAGACAAATGGAAATTGTATTTCTTTATTGTTATTTCACTTATTTTTGTGACAGATGAAAGTTTAAACCTTTCCGATGACTGTTTTTCAATTTTACCAAACTGTTTTGCTATTTCTTTTTTTATTTAGTGTACCTAGTTTTAGAATTGGCAGTTTGGGTTCAGCTTTTTTAGGTATCTTCAGGGTGGCTAATGATATGTCTAAATGGAATTTCATAAGTTCAGTATGTTTTACTGAGGACAATTTACTCTTATAGTCTGTAGTTATTTTTTCCAGGATTTTCATATAGTCCTCTGTTTTCTTCTGATGTTCATTAATATCATTTAGTACAGAGTTCTCGATCACATCAAGTTTTTTATTATTATCACTTAATAAACTGTCAACAACCTTCTTTAGTTCATCTGCTCTCTTCTTCATGAAGAATCTTAATTTGGTAATTTTTTTCACGGCATTTTTTCTCATTGATTCAACATCATTTTTAGCCCCAGGAATGACAGTATTCCAGATCTTGCTTATTTTTTTCTGACATTGCTGTAGAATGTCATTGTAGATGGTTTCAAGGTCAGTGACTGCATGACCACTGTGATCTTGAGCAAAGCATGTAGAACAAAGAGGATCCTGGCAAAACGTACAGTAGATATCTATGTCATTGGTGGGATGGATCCTGCATTTCTCTGAAGGAAGTTTTCTTTTTCTCTCTTGATAGAGGACAATCTCATGTTGTTTTTTTCCCTTCAAATGTGCCTCTCTGCAATGGTCACATAATGGTTGATGACATTTATTACAATAAAACTCGGAGAAGTTCCTACAGGATTCTGTGTCACACTCAATAAAGTGCTGGGCTGTATCAGGTACTTCATCCATTATTGTTGGTCAAAACTCTAAAATACATTTATTTTTATCAGAGTGCAAGTACATGTAAGGCATTTATAACATGGTGAATAACTAGCTTACAGCACACACTATATGTATTCTACATCTAAAAGAGAAATAAATAACTTAATTTTTTAGGACCCACAAGGATTTGTGGGTGACCTTTAGTAATCATTCTGTCTGTCTGTCTGTCCATCAGTCATTCTTCCGTCCACAATTTTTCTGTTTTAGCTCACCTGAACCAAGGGCTCAAGTGTGCTTTTCTGAACAAAATTTGTCCAAAGTCTGTCTTTAAAGATCTTCTCAAGAACAGCAAAGCCATGATTAGTCATATTTATATAAAACAATCCTCAGGATTCAAATCATAACCCCAGAGCTAAGGTGGGGACATAGTGGGCGATCAAAGTTTTACATAGGAAATATTCTTTAAAAATCTTTTTAAGAACAGCAACAGATTGTTCATATTTATATTGAAGAATTTTCATCGAGTATCGAGTTTGTTCAAATTCTGACCCCCAAGGGTAGGGTAGCATCACAGTGGGCGATCGAACTTTTACATAGAAATGCATAGGCAAAATTCTTTAAAAATGTTTTTTTTTAAGAACAACAAAGCTATGGTTCGTTATATTTATATGGAAGATTAGTGTAGATTCAAGTTCGTTCAAATCATGACCCTTGGGGGTAGGGTGGGGACATAATCAAAGTTAAAATGGAAAAAAATAAAATTAGAGGTAGGTCGGGACCACTTATGCGCTTAAGCTTTTCAATACTTAACTGAGTTTTGATTTTTTTTCTAGCCATAGTGCTTAAATGAGTGATGTGGCCCATGGACCACTTCTTTTCTAATAACATTTTGATGGTTCACGAATGAAGTTTAAATTTGGCATGTAGGTTGAATAGGCAGTAAGACATATTTTGATACTACATGTACATGTTCTAATTAAGTTTGGTTCTTTATGTCATCTTGTTTGCAGATGGGACAGTTTTAAACTGTGAAAGCTACAATGAGCCCCTTGGAATTAATTATTTTTCCTCTTGAAGAAAATCGAAAGCATTATCCTTATCTGTTAACTAATTAACATCTCTGTCTGTATTTAAAATTTGTTTTGAAGTTAAGGTCAATTCTGAATGATTTTTACATTTTCTGAAATTTGGATTTAATTTAGGTTCATACTTTATTTTAGTTTAAATGTCGTACAAAATGAATAATAGTAAATGTACATGATTATATGATTTTATTGAATTCTAAATACATTATTTTTACCTGTCACTATACAAACAATTAATATCTATATCTTTGTGTGCAACAGATGATTGTTTTGAAGTACAGGCAAGCCAAGGTGATATTTACATTCACTGAAGGCTAGCATTTTATAATACACATGCTTCATATACTTTAATATTGTTTGAATATAAATTTATTTGACCTATTATAAGATATGATCGACGCTTTCTACTGCCTTGTGTTATTGGATATGTAAGACTTATCTTAAAGTTTCTTAAATACTATGCTATTGATTATTCTTCTCTTTATATTTTACAATTTTTATAATCAAGAAAATTCTCATTCTGAATAGTCAGCCATCTTCTTACCTTTCTTTTCTTTTATCTTGCCTTTTCACAATACTTTTAAATTACCAGTCATGATAAGTGTCAGCCATTTGTAATGTATGATGACGTGTATCCAGGAAGAACGCACTTTACTTTCTGTTTCAAACAAAAACATTTAAATTCCCATGCCGAGTAAGCATAGTTGCAGAAAAGAGAAAAATGGAGCTAAAATACCATGCAGTTATTTAAAAATTAACAGTCTTGAGTGTAGTGTGAAAAGGTTAACATAATATTTATCAATTTTGGTTGGTTCTTCAGAAATATTTATCATTCTAAAGTTTTATATAAAAAAGTTGCACATTTGAATATACATGTATTTTGTGCTCATATATTCTTAATAAACAAAGGAATTCATGCATTCTAGGTAGAGTTCAATGAAAACTCTAGCTGTGCAATAATCTGTCTTACTAAATTGTCTTACTAAAATTGCCAAGAAAAAAAAAATCTGAAACGTTGAAAAACATAATTTGACAAAGGTTATAATTATACACAATATCACAATTATGTGGCAAGTCCTTTGATGAAGTATGAAGTATTACTTAATAAATCTCAACACATGATTGTACAAAAGGAAATGAACCTAAACATATTTATGTGTCCTTAAATTGTACTTGTATGACATAATCTTCAGCTTGAAATGCAGCTGGAGATAAAAAAGTTCTGTTGAATTTTGTTTATCATTAATATTACGGGGTCCAGAAAGTCTTCCTACAGTAATGACATAATCTTCAGCTTGAAATTCAGCTAGAGGTAATAAAAAAAGTTCTGTTGATTTTTTATCATTATAACAGGGTCCAGAAAGTCTTCTTTAGGTAGTCCGCCTAAGTCAGACCGCCTACCACCTGATGTGTGGAGAATCTGAGAAATCATCACAAGACAAACATTTGATGTACTCCTTAGAAACTTAAAAACAAGGCTACACAAATTATATATATCCTGTCACAGCACACCTGGTCTCAAGGTGCTGTACTCTATAATTGGGATATCAAAATTAGGTCAGTCTAATCAAGGTTTAAATATAACCGTAAACTGTATTGCACAAGCTTGTTCATACATCTAAAGCAGATTTATTTCAGGCTAACTTTTATCAAAATCAGTCATGGTTTTGATCTCATTATTAAAAGAAAAAGAAGTTTAATATAATGCGATTGATTTTCCTCAAAATGGAAATTGTTTAAATTAATTTCTATCTCATATCTCTTAACATTGAAAAAAATGAGAGGAAAAGTCAAAGACACAAGAATCGAATTTTTTTGATGATAAATATTTTTAAAAAAAATACAAAAACATTTATTGCTTTATCAGGAAACTGTTGAGAGGGCATATCGTCCAAGTGATTGTATCCATACTTCACTCCACTGTGACAATGTTCAAAACAAAGGAATCAGAGCACATCTACAAACAGTGTCAAAGTTTGTCATATACTTCCAAAACAAAGATCCCCATCAAGGAGACAGTGAACAAATAACCCAAACCAAAAAAGAAATGTCATGTGTGGATCGAGTTATTGGGACTGATCTTTTTATATTCAGGGAGTGTTTGAATGAAATCCTTGCAGTATCCGATTATGAGACTGATATGAGTACAGCAGGGAGACACTAGGTGTGTGTAGGTCTACTGGGCATGCTCCTCCACAAACCAAGGTCTCCTGTTGATCACGTAGTCAAAACACGGATAAAACTTCAGCTAAAGCGACGTTTACGGGATGTAAAATAAGAACAAATGTACATATCAAAATATGTACAGAAATGTTTAAAAAAAATTCTGGAATTTGCATTAAGCTATTGATTATTAATTTTATCTTTCAAAATTAGATAAAGTTTTAAAGTATGTTAAAAAATTTTGTTTGATTTGATTTTTTCAATAGTTGGAGGAGATCAATACAGAAATTGAGGTCAAGGTCATCCATCTCAGACAAATGACAGGTCTATGCCTGCTGGATACGCCATCCCACCTACAACATCCTTTGATCCCTCACTTGATTGACAGGAGGGAGAAGTTATAGATACAGATGGTAGCCTTACAGTCCCAGCAGGCACACGTGTACAGACCAAGCACCTGTCAGGTGAATTGCTGTAAATTTCAGGTTCAATAAGATGGCTTTAACTTATTGAAACTATTAGTGTTAGAAACAATTTTGATGTGAAAATTCATGTGAAAATTTTATCAGTTTCCCTGTCAGTTGTCTTACTTTACTGCGAAATTCGTTGCTTTCTTTCAGTACAAACAACTGCTGAACATGATAAGTTACTTTTTCAGTATCAAAGGATCTGCCACTCACACAATTCAGCTAATGGAAAAGTTATTAAGAGTTTGTAAATTTGGAGAACTATCCAATGAGATTGCAGAAGAGAGGACCTGGCAGAAAACTCACCAGCGATAAGTCAGTTCCCTGGAGGAGGAGATTCTTTTATAGAGAAACATCACCACACTTTTCATAGTCGCCCTCCAACAGGTGAGTGATTATAAAGGTTAAACCTGCTAGTAACAGGTAAGTTAAATTGAAGGCATCATCATTGTAAACTGGTGTTTTTACGACCTCTGTTTCCACAACTGGGACTGCCAGCTGCAAGGTTTATAATTATGAATGAAAGCCTGAATATTTTTAAATAGGCATGAGATTCAATCTAGAAGTTAGACGTGTGATCATGTAAAAAGCCCTTTTAGGATTTTAAGTGTAAAAAAAACATGACATCATATTTGTTTCAGGTGAGATGTGGGGTGAGGCTTATAGCTGGCTGTGCAACAGAGGAATACAGTGCACAACATCTAACAGAGGGGCTGAAAGAGATCAGTCAGGTAGAAGTTCTTTTTTTCTAATGACAGTTTTGATAACATGATACATTCTCTCATAAATCAAAAATATGTTTTCTTGTATAGTGTGCGTTTAATTAGAATTTTCTCGGAAATATGATGGAAGTGTGTGATTTTTCTCTCTAAAGGTCCATTTGACAATACATGTAGGTCGCATCAGGGAAGCAGCGCAGCTTTTAACAAATTTATCTGTTTTTCCACCATCACAATTTTGATGGTTTAAAGTACAAAACTGCATTTCTTTCATTTAATATAGTTTAAGTTTACAAATCGTTGCAAAAAATGTATAGGTCGCCATATTATTTAGGATAGGAGACATGAATAAAAAGAAGTGTATGTTAACATAAAAAATCATACTTTTCTATAAATTATTGGTATATAGGATTTAAAACACTAGAGAACATAACTTCAAAAATGAATGTTAATTTGTGTACTCTTTTGTTTATATCAAGTTCACGCTGACAGGAATATCAAGCATGCACAATACAGTAAATAAAATATTTATTAGTATTTTGGTTTTTGTAGATATTTATACACAGAAATAGTAGAACTCCCAACCCAGAGATTGTGTTGATCATCAATACAGAGAGCACAGGGGAATGGTGGGCATTGTTCTGATGTGAATAGGAGAAAAAGAGACTGACCATTAATGTCCAGCAGGTGGACATTAAAACATTTCATATTCAATTTAAATATAAAATAGCTATTACACAACAAAATGTGTCCCACAACATCTGTACAGACGCCAGAGGGCCGGAATCCAGACTGAGAGTGGTGACCAGAGTAAGAGAAGCGATACTCTCCCGGTGCCGTCACCATCACTACCTTACCGGCACTGCTATCAGATGCACATACGTCACCATTGATGTTTTCTGTGATGTAGTGAGTTTGTCCTTTACCATCTCAATGTATGTCATGTAACTTCCTTCCTTCTCTGTTGTACCTAGTTATTTGGATTTCTTTCCAGCCAAACCAGTATGTGTCCATTGATAGGAGAGGAATAGATGGCTCCAGGTTTCCAGCTCCAAGTCTAAATAAGTTTGTTGATGGACATGTCACTAGTAACTCTGCATACAGTGTTTTTACTGTTATCTGTGTAAAGAAGTTCTCCATTTTTTGTGACTGTGTGGTTACTTTGGATATTTCTAAAACTGGTAGATATTTTGTGTAAAATGTTTCCTTCCATATCATACTGAATGAGATTCCCCATGCTATCAACAGCCCAGAATTTATCAGGGGGCAGGAAAGACAAATGGAAAGCATATTCCTGAATATTTACCTCAGTTACTTTTATGACAGGAGTAAGCTTAATTATTTCAGGTGAATCTATTTCAATTTCACCGAACTGTTTGTCCTCTTTATTTAGTGTTCTTAGTCTGAAAATTGGCAGTTTGGGTTTAACTATCTTAGGCATCCTCAAGGTAGCTATTGAAATATATGTATGGAATTCCATGAGTTCAGTTAAGTTCAATGACAACATATTACGCTCATAGTTTATAATAATTTCTTCTAGGTAATTTATGAAATCGTCTATTATTTTCTGTTGTTTAACCATATCACTTTGTAGAGAATTCTCAATTTCATCCAGTTTTTTGTTATTTTTGTTAAGTACACTAGTAATATAAACCACCTTTTTCAGTTCATCTGCTCTCTTCTTCATGGAATCTCTTAAATTGGCGATTTCTTTCTCGGCATTATTTCTCGTTGATTCAACATTATTTTTAACCCCAGGAATGACTTCTTTCCAGATCTCAGTTATTTCCGTCTGGATATTATGTAGAAAATAATTGTAGATGGTTTCAAGGTCACTGATTTCATGATCACTGTGATGTTGGGCAAAACATGTAGGACAGATAGGATCATAACAATCGTCACAGAAGACATGTAGTTCTCCTGTGGGGTGGATCCAGCATCCCTCTGATGGAACTTTTCTTTTTTTCTCGTGATAGGGGACAATTTTGTGTTCTTTGTTCTGCTTTAGATGGCGCTGTTTGCATTTGTCACAAATTCGCTTATGGCAGGTACTACAATAAAACTCAGAGAAGTTCCTACAAGATTTCAAGTCACACTCTATAAAATGTTGGGCTGTATTTGGAACTTGGTCCATTTTTTGTTGTTTCAAACTCTAAAAAAATATTGATTATCAGAGTGTAGGTAAGACACATACACTAATAATACAAGTGTAGCTTTTAATTACAACGCGTTCTATACTAATTAAAGTATTAATTGTTCTCAGTAAATAAATCTTTTGCACAATACCTTACCTGTAATGATAAGTGTCAGCCATTTGTAATGTATGATGTATATCCAGGTAGAGTGGTATAATTTACTTCCTGCTATAAACAAAATAACACACTGCGATCGGGATACCGTACATAGCTCAGATGAGCCAAATGACAAAAATATTTAAATCACCATGCATTCTTTGCATCAGTGCAGAAGTTGAATAACAAGAGAATAAATCGGCTAGAACATCACACAGTTGCTGTAATTTAAATAACAGAAGAGAAGTGTGAAAATATATACCAGTAATGTTAAACGATCTTAGTTCTTTAGAAATGCTTATCAAGGAAGAGTGAAAATAGTTTTAAATGAAACTGGTCCTTGAAAAATGTTTATCAATAAAAAAAACATTTATCTTAATAAGAAGCTGTTCAAATATTATCCTTGATTATGCTAATGTATTGTTCTTAAACTGAGGAATCTCTGCACTCAAGATAGACATCACTCAAAAGAAATATTATAAGTTGAAGAAGTTTCATCATTGAAAACAGATTGTCATCAAGTGAGTAAGGTTGTAAAGGATCAATTAGAAAAAGTGTTTTTGATACATGTATCTGAATTCTGTGTATTTTTCATAAGAGAAATATTGTTTCAAGGGGGTAAGAAAAGGCATTCAAATGTTAATATATTATTGTTTGCTCTTTATCCTCTGATATGACATTATCTTAAGCTTGACTGGCAGTAAGGGCTCAAAACATTTTGATAATTATTGTTAATCATTAATGATACAGGGTCCAGAAAGTCTTCACAAGGCAGTACTATGTCAGACCTGATGTGTGGAGAATCTGATGTAACACAGAAATCATCACAAAACAGACATCTTACTGTTGATGAACCCCTAAAAAGCTTAATTTACAAGGCCACACAGTACCGTATTTTATTATATGCGTACAAGTATATTAAACATGAAGAAATATCATTTATAACTTTTAAAACTTTCATGAAATAAATAGTTGATATCTTGAATTACATGTAGCGCTTTACTGGATCAAAAAATATTGCAAATTGGCAAAAAAAGTTCGCAACAGTTCGCCTTTTCGGATTTTTGTGAGTCTTAGGATATCATACCCGCATTAATTATAATCTTATCTGTTAAATATGTACTCATTATTATTATAACTATCATTTTGTCTTAGACCTATAATTACTCACATTTCATGATTATTATCTTGCCAGTCAATTTGGGCGCATTATTATAATTTTTCGCATATAGATTATAATCTTACGGCGCCGCTGGAGGGCCAGGTAAAAAAAAATAATTTTATTAGTTCGGAAAAATTAGAAATTTGTTCGAACGAATTAGATATTCGTTCGGACAAATTAAAAATTCGTTCGGACAAATTAAAAATTCGTTCGGTCGAATTAGAAATTTGTTCGGACAAAATAAGTTATTTGTTCGGACAAATTAGAAATTCATTCGGACAAATTAGAAATTTGTTCGGACAAATTAGAAATTCGTTCGGACAAATTAGTTATTTGTACGAACGAATTAGTTATCTGTACGGACAAATTAGTTATTTGTTCGGACAGATTAGAGAAAATATGTACAACTGTCAGGACACCGCGATTAATGTGCAATTTGCACCAAGACGTTTCATTCTATATGTTCAATTCTTTGCAAAATAACTTTAATGAACAACATCATCAATAAATATTTTGAAGATAAGTCGTTTTAATGTTGATCTCTTTCTTATAATTTTATGTACATATTCACTACCCTGCATTTATTAATCATGACAGTCATGTGAATGATTTTTGAAATACATTTATGATATATATGTCGCCGATATGTGGCTGAAATATTGCCAATTCGGCGTAAAACATACAATAAATCAATCTGGTACATATGCGGTTTATAAAATGAAAAAAAGTCCCCATTGAGTTTTTAATTTAATATTCCTTTTGTGAATTAAGAAAAGTTCACAAAAATGAGAGCTTGTTCGTATTAATCCCAGGTTGTTCCTATGACTCGCGAGCCAGTGAATTAAGATGTCAACCGGTCAATCTGGTATATTCCCTAGTCTGTTTATTTACAAAGCATATTATAGCCACCTTCCTTTATTGGAGAGGTACATGTAGTCGAACAAACTATTTAATTTCACTTTCAGCATTTCTTAATTTTGTTCATACGCTTTTACAGTTGAGTACCAGTTCGAAAGTTTGATAGGCCAATGGCTCACTTAAAAGGGGAATTATGAAACCAACCCCTTTTATGGGGAAAATAAATCATGAATGAATAAATGTCAAAATATTTTCAAGTAACAACCCCCTCCCCTCCTCTATTTAAAAACGATCGATTGTCTTAATCATTTAGAAGCTTAACTTGCATTAAATTATGATGTGTTTTTAAATTTTACTGCACTTTCTAGGAACGTACATGTAATCATCTTTTTTTTTTTTTTATCCTTTTCCCGAAAAGGGGCGTGTGTTTAATTTGGTCAATATTATGCCTGCATGTTTTAATTCATGCACTTTTCTGATATTTAAATATAAAATAAAATTTATATAGAAACTTAATAATAATTTTTAACTATCTAAGAAAGAATCCATTGGAGATGAACTTGTGAGATTCCCTCCTTTCGTTCCTTTATCAAACTACTTTAATGTGGGAACAGCGGTATAGAAGCAAAACTACAAATGTCCTAGCTAGTAAGCCCCACCTTAAAAAAATTTAGACCCATCGAATAAGAGGCTTGATATTTTGAGTCCGAAGTTTATCTAATAATAATATAATACGATACCGTCACGTAGCATCCTTTTTGAAAGTGGGGGGGGGGGTCTGAGAAAAAAAATACTTATCTAAAAAGTTTACAAGCCAAAAAAAAAAGGACCCAGGAAAAGTTGCCCAAAGTTGACAGTCCTATTTCATGGGGGTGGGGGGGGGGCTTACTTTTTCAATGCCAATTTTTTCCCGTACCAATTGCCTGCAGTATGAATAAAACCTTAAGGGGTGGATCTCATCTTTTCAAAGAAGCGGTAACTGACCATTGGCACCCCAGTGTTAACAAAATTAACACCACAAGCAAAAGTTTGTCTGGTAGAACCAGATGCTGTTTATTTATAACAAATCTTATGAGTTTGTCAGGGATGGGAGTGAAAAGATGTTTGATAAGAAATAACTGACCCTTTGAATTTACTAGTGGGCTCTCAGTTAATATACTTTCAGAATTGCAGACTTTAGGCCTATAATATATACCGGTATAGAACCATTATTTCCGAATATTTACAATCAACATAGCCGACTTAAATAGCACATGTATAGTTGCAACATATGTATGTCATGGCCCAAAGAGCTATTTATGTATTAAAAAGGGATGAATCCTCCTGAATAGACAAATTATATATCTCTCTATACAAGATAATTTGTTCAAACATCTAATTTGTCCGAACAAATATCAAATCCGTCCGAACAAATAACTAATTCGTCCGAACGAATTTCTAATTCGTTCGAACGAATTTCTAATTCGTCCGAACAAATAACTAATTTCTCCGAACAAATTTCTAATTCGTCCGAACGAATATTTTATTCGCCCGAACAAATATCTAATTTTTCCGAACTAATAAAATTATATTTCCGAAAAAAATTCTGATTCGTCCGAACGAATTTCGGATTTGTCCGAACGAATTTTGGATTTGTCCGAACGAGTAACTAAGTCGTCCGAACGAATTTCTAATTTGTCCAAACGAATATCTAATTCTTCCCAACGAATTTCTAATTTCTCCGAACAAATATCTAATTTGTCCGAACAAATATCTTATTTGTCCGAACAAATTTCTAATTCGTAAACGAATTTCTAATTTGTGCGAACGAATATATAATTCGTCAGAACAAATAAATTTTTTTCCCGGCCCTCCAGCGGCGCCGTATAATCTTGTCAGTCGATGTTTATACACATATTTTTTTGCCTTAATAAGTAGATTACTGTAATCGAGATGAAGTTCTTATTTCAAAACTGGGAAACCATCTTTCGTCACACACATTCAATACGATACATGTAAATAAATCTATCTAAGCAAAATTGTTCTCTTTCAGTGTACATGTAGATACAAATGCGTCACTACCGGGAGAAATATTTGACAATTACTAATTTGTGTTCTTTTTGTAAAAATAACTTTCTAGGACTTTGTGATTTTTTTTATCGGACTTCATTAATCTCATAGCTTGTACCAATTTATTTTGGTGTTTTTAATTTTAAGAATGTTTAAATGCAGGAAAATACAATGTAATGATATGTTTTGACATTGTTAATCATTGAAACAGCTCATTTTCTATGTAATGACATTTTGTCAGTTAAAGCAATAAAAAATTGAACATATAGAACATATCGAACATATAGAATGAAATTGATATCACTTGCAGACACCTAACGTGTTGATCGTGTAAGCACCACCCTCACATTTCTTTTTAATAAGGTTCAAAAATATCTTGGCAAAATGATTAAGAAATGTCACTGATAATTTTTTCATCAAATCTTTCTATCTTCACTTTTGGTGCCTGTGAATATAGGTAAAAGGGATTTTTGTTTAAATTACATCATGTACCGGTGAAGTTTGAAAAATAAAACATTTTCATAAAATGTTCTGAATATTTTAAACTATTGTTCGAAAATTACTATATATCTATATTCTTATTTAGAAAAAAGAAACATATACATGTAGGAGTAGTTAAAATAAACACTAGATTATTTTAAATGTGTCAATAATTTTTGGCAATTCTAGAATGCCTTTATACGAAAATATGTCTCTAGCTACAATAAAATAGATTTTATATTGATTTCAAATTACATTTAAATCTGTCTTTTTCATGACATACAATAAAATCAA